AATAAATAAATAAATAAATAAATAAATAAATAAATAAATAAATAAATAAATAAATAAATATTGCTTAACGCATTGTAAGCTGCCCTGAGTCTCCGGAGAAGGGCGGCATATAAATTAAAGCAAAAAAAAGGGGGGGGTGTTACTCAAAGTCATAACTTTAGAATGGGTTGTAAGTAGCTTTCGGGAGGGGGGGGGAGTCTGTCATAACTTGAGACAGTCACTAAGTGATCGCTCATAAGTTGAGGACTGCCCCCAGTGCATCATGTGCCAGGGTCCAGCTTCCTGGCTATGTTGTTAACTATGTTGATATCTTGCTTTTTTTAAAATGTCGTTTGACTTTGACGTTTTAATGCTTTACTGCTTTCCGCTTTAATGTTTTAAAATATTTTTCGAAATTTTAATCGTAATACAGCTGGTCCTTGACTTACGACCACAACCAGGCCCCAAGTTTCTGTTGTTAAGTGAAACATTTGTTAAGCGAGTTTTCCTCTGTTTTACGGCCTTTCTTGCCACCGTTGTCAAGTGAATCACTGCAGTTGATCAGTTAGTCACCCGGTTGTTAAGTGAATCTGGCTTCCCCATCGACTTTGCTTGTCAGAAGGTCACAAAGGGGGACGACATAACCCTGCGACACAGCGACCGTCATAAATATGAGTCGGTTGCCAAGCCTCTGAATTTTGATCCCATGATTAACGGGGATGCCGCAGAGGTCGTACCGGTGAAAAATGGTCGTAACGTCACTTTTTTTTTTTTAGTGTGTCGTCGTAACTTCGAACTCACTAAATGAACTATTGTAAGTCACCTGTACAATTAAATAAATTAATTGTCAAGTTTCCGAAAGATGCCCTAATTAATTCATGAGCCATGATCCAAACTTCAAAGGAAATATATTCATTTATTAGGAGCAACATTCCGGCAATACTGGGATGCAGTCAGGACTGATCCCACGTAGATTTACGTTCCCCTATGACCCTGTCTCTCCCCTCTACCCTGGCCATGTCATAAATCACATTCTCCAGTTAACCACTTTGGCTGGCTGTGAAACCTAACACCCTCCTTCTGTTTGCGGTCAGAAAGAATGTATGGAATTCACTTCAGTTCTCCCTCCATCCTGCTCATGGCAACTTGAAAGCTTTGCAAGTTGACATTAATAATTTATTTAATTATTATTAATGTAAATTAAATAAATCTTTCCCCCCCCCCTTTCTCAAGCAGAATGGAGGCACTGCGGCTTCTGCGGGGACCCTGCCTTGCCAGCTCTCTCCAAACCTATTATCAGCGTCTGCACACACACAACTCAGCGTCACACAACCCACACCTTTGCCTTCGCAAAATCTACAGATTCCCACTCCGCCGCCTCCCCCACCGCCTCCCCCACTGCCGCCACCGCCTCCTCCACCAGCACCCCTTGTATTCAAAAGACGGAGTGACCCAAAGGTAAGATGGAAGTTAAAACCTACCAGAGAGAAATTTTGGAATTTCTTTTCTAAATGAAAGACCTTGTGATCAGTGGATGGGTTTCAATTTTTATTACTACCGGTTCTGTGGGCGTGGCTTGGTGGGCGTGGCTTGGTGGGCGTGACAGGGGAAGGATACTGTAAAATCTCCATTCCCACCCCACTCCAGGGGAAGGTTACTGCAAAAGAGCCTTGGTAGTACAGGGGTTTAAGGCACCCTGTTATTAAGCTGGTTATTAAGACCAGCTGCCTGCAATTACTGCAGGGTTCGAATCTCGCCAAGGCTCAAGGTTGACTCAGCCTTCCATCCTTTCTAAGGTAGGTAAATTGAGGACCCAGTTGTGGGGGCAATAAGCTGACTTTATATAAATATACAAAAGGATGAAGGCTATTGCTGAGCACATTGTAAGCCGCCCTGAGTCTTCGGAGAAGGGCGGCATATAAATCAAATTTAAATTAAAAAAAAAAAAAATCCAGGCAACCTTGGAGCTCCAAGGGGAAAGAGGGAATGGAGCTGGCAGAGAGACAGAGACGGAGCCTGGGCCGTCCGTCATTCCTCAGGTGGAGAGTCAACAGCCCCCAGGTCTGGAGGTGGCTGATGAGGAAGAGGAGGAACAGCTGGGCCCAGTGCCTGATGCACGGATGCACAGAAGGCAGAGGAGAGGAGAGCAGTGGAAATCTATGAGCCGGTCCTTGGGACGCTGCTAATGAAGCCCCACCCTAGCTCTGGGGATAAAAGGCAGGGGGTGGAGATGAATAGATGTGGCAGACAACTATTCATCTCCCTTGCCAGACAGATTTATTAATCTGAGTTGAGAGGAAAAAATTTTGCTAGGGCTACCGGCGTTCCGAATTAAAGGAATCTTTGTTGTTGTTGTTGTTTTATATATATATATATTTATTATTAAAATATAAACAAAAATACAAAGACAATACAAAACAAAGAAAACTCCCACCACCCACAGCACCCACACAACATTCTACATATATACTTTTTGTCATCAACATTATATATAGCATTTTCCTTTACATATTAATGAGAAAATAATATCAGATTCTTAATTCAACTACTTAAGACTTAGTATATATTTACCTCCTCTCCTTATTCCTTGTAATCTTTCGCCCTAGTTGTTATCGTCTATGGTTATGATTATTTTCCTTTCCAGCCATTGGTGCCACACACGATAATAGTCACTTTCTTCCTTGTCCTGGAGTTCCAGCGTCAATCTATCCATCTCGGCCGAGATGTGCCACGAATTAAAGTTCACTTCAGAGGATTTGGCGTGTTTGGGGAGCTGGGTCAGAACATGGAAGTTCTTACGAGGCTTGTTAGGAGAAAGTGGGTCCCTCTGGATATTGCTTACCCAGCCCCCCTGAGGTCCCAGCCAATCTGGGATCTATAGAAACCTGGCTTCAAATATCAAAATTGTATCAGAAATGGCGACGAGGACCGGAAGAAGCACTCAAAACCCCACAAATCCAACCCTTTGCTCAATGCAGCCAATCAAATAGCTCCAAGAAGCTCCATTACAAAATGTTTTATTTTCACGGTTGAGTGAGTCATGGATTCTGACCTTTCTTTTCCATTTATTCTCCTCAGATTCAGGCTGTCCCCTTAAAAAAAGACGTTCCCCTACAAATAACAGCACAGGATCTTCTGAATGTGAAATTGAAGAAAACGAAGAGTGAAGCAGCCACGGACAAGGTAATATTGAAATGAGATGTTCGAGCACGGATAAGCTGCTTTCTACATAACAGGTAGTCCTCGACTTACGGCCACAATTCAGCCCCAAATGTCTGTGGCTAAGTGAGACATTTCTTAAGTGACTTTTTTGCCCCATTCTACGATTTTCTTGCCTCTGTTATTAAGTGAATCGCCGTGGCTGGTGAGTTAGCAACGCGGTTGTTAAGTGAATCTGGCTTCCTCGTTGATTTTGCTTGTCGAAAGGCTTGCAAAGGGGATCCCTTCCCCTTGGGACACAGCCAACGGTCGTAAGTATGAGTCAGCTGCCAAGCCTCTGAATTTTGATCCCATGATCATAGGGCCATACGAAGAAGAGCCTGAGTGGCGCAGCAGACTAATGTTACTGTTAAAGGTAGTATTTAGCTTCCAGCTGCCTGCAATTACTGCGAGTTCAAATCTCACCAGGCTCAAGGTTGACTCAGCCTTCCACCTTTTCTAAGGTAGGTAAAATGAGGACCCAGTTTGTGGGGGCAATAAGCTGATTTTGTATAAATATATACAAAAGTATGAAGGCTATTGCTTAGCCCATTGTAAGCCGTCCTGAGTCTCTGGAGAAGGGCGGCATAGAAATCAAAATAAAATAAAATAAAATAAATAAAATAAAGGCCGTAAGTGTGAAAAATGTCCCTTTTTTCAGTGCCGTTGTAACTTTGAACAGTCACTAAATGAACTGTTGTAAGTTGAGGACTACCTGTATTTACGATCCTCCGGTAAGCAAAGTCAATAGTTAAAGCCAGATTCACTTAAAAGACTGCACGGGTCAGTTAACAACTGCGATGATTCCTCTAATCTTCATTTTGGTTGTTAGTTGAAGATTACTTATACCAGGGGTGTCAAACTCAAGGCTCATGGGCCGAATCTGGCCCGCAGGGTGATTAAATCCAGCCTTCAGGGTCGGCCTGGAAATATCAAAGGACCAGCCCACAGTGCTTCTGGAAATTAAAACGAGCTGCATGCGCCCCACCCCCCATGCCTCATTTTCACCCTCCATGGCCTGCAGCACTCTATCTGCCGAAAACAGGCTGAGAACAGCCAGCAGAGTGCTGCAGGAGGGGGAAAATGAGGTGCAGGAGGGGCTGTTTTGGCTTGCAGATGTCAGGTTTCGAGGTCGTCCCAAATAAATTGCATTTCAAACAAAGTCTTTGAAGAAAAACTCCCATTTATTAAGCACGACATTCTAACTTTGACTCTATCGCAGCCAACACTAACTTCCAGACCCAAAACCCTCCCTTTCCGTTCCCCACTCCCCTGCACTCATTGGTCATCTTCCAAGTCACTCTACCCCTAATCTACTGCTCCAGCTCAAAGGAATTTCCCCCCTCCCATCCCATCTCCTAGGGGATATTATCTCCAGGGAAAATAAGTGAGTGAAAAGTCAAACGTCCCTTTCCAGACGCCTCCGCTTCTTCTTATGTCAGCACTAGAGTAAATGCAGCTTGAAGTGCTGACAGCAGATGCTGCAGGAGGCATCTGTCCTGCCCACACATACACACACCCAAGCCGGCCCCCGGAGGAGAACTACAATGCTGATCCGACCCTTGAACTAAATCTAGTTTGACATCCCTAATTTATACTGTCTCAACTTGCTGGAGCCTCTTTGAAAGACATGTCTGAAATGGTATAGGCCAGGGGTGTTAAACACAAAGCTGACGTGGTCGGATCTGGCCCATGGGGCTGGCCTGGAAAATGTAAGGGGACGGCCCACGTCACTTTGGCCCCGTCTTCCCAATGCAAAGAGGAAACATCTAGCTAGCGTGGCATCGGCACGGTCTATCCAATGTGAAGAGGAAACAGTTTGGGGAATGGTGTCAATCTGGCCACGCCCACCCAGTTGGCCACACCCACCCAGTCAGCCACGCCCACCCAGGCACTCTCCCCCAAAGTCAACCACAGCCCTGATGCGGCCCTCAATGAAATGGTGTTTGACACCCCTGGTCTAGGGTCTCCTGCTTGAGCAGGAGGCTGGACTAGAAAACCTCCAGGGTCCCTTCTATTAGAGTTTGTTGCAGAAATTAAATCCAGAAAGCACACACAGGCAGACTGATGCAGCAGGATTCATTAACATCTTTATATACATAATAATACATGATGATAAAAGTACAATACCAATATAGATTCTTCTTACCTGCAAAACACAAGGCAGGAGAGAACAGTTAGTTTCATTTCAGCAGAGCAGGCTAGTTCAGACACAGACTGTTTAGTTTCAATTCTCAGCCCAGACTCAGAAGCTGCAGACTAAGACATGCCCTGGCTCCAGACTGTCTCAGCTCCCATTGGCTGACTTAGTTGCTATGCCTATTCATTGGCTGACCTTGTTACCATGCCTCTGCCAATTCATGAATAATCTGACACCTTCCATTTCTGTGATTATGTTATTCTATTACTCTGAGAACAAAGGTGCCATTTTATGTCCCCTTCCTGTTTCAGGAAACCTCCCCATCCAAGGGACGCAAGGCATTGATAACTCTCCGGGATCTTCAGAGCATCCGTCTCCAGGCCAACGCCCCCCAGCCGCTTCCTCGCGTTACAAATTTTCTCAAGTAAGACATTTGCCCTCGTGTGAAATTTTGGGAGACGACTTGATGTTTTAATTTGGGCCACTGAGCGATTTTCTAATCTTATTATTTGTCCTTTTTGGTTCTTCCTTTAGTACCCCCAGCAGAGATGGCTTAGATTTCCGGAAACACTTGAAAAAAGTTGCTATTAAAAGGTAAATCAATAAGGTTTTTTTCTCCCCCTCTACCAATAAAGTTTGGGGATGGGAGTGGCACCCAGTTGGCATAGTGACATCCAGTGGGAAATGACCCCTGTCTTCCCCCAAAGACAGGTGGTCCTCGACTTACGACCACAATGGAGCCTAACCTTTCTGTTGCTAAGTGAGGTATTTGTTGAGCGGGTTTTGCCCCATTTTACAACATTTCTTGCCTCTTCTGCCCCAGCTATGGACCCCAAAGAACGCAGCACACGCAAAGTCTGTACAAACCTTAGTTTACTAAATTAAATCAGTCTTTTTCAAACAAAGGCTGTTAATTAACTTTCTTAACAGCCTACAAGAATAAATAATCATAATCTTACTATGGTTGGCAGAAAGCCCAGAAGCAATTTGCAGGAACCTGATAGGAGAACTAAGATCAGGACACAAAGGAGAGTGAACGAAGTTGTTCCCTGCAAATTGCTTCAGTCGTCGTCCTTCCTTAAATAGGCTAAGGGAGTGGCCAATTAGCCCCAAGCCTTACTCTCGAGGAGACCTCCTCCTGAGGAGCCACTCCTGCCTTTTGGCCGCTCTGCGCGCCCGTGCATCGAGAAGAGGCTCCTCCTCTTCACCCATGGAAGCTTCTGGAGGTTCTGAAGGCCCTGGCTGAATCCCTGCCTCTGGCACCACATCTTCTCCAGCCTCTTCATTGTTCGACTCGAGTGCCAGCTGCACAGGCTGCTGGCGCAGCACCACACCAGCCTCCTTGCTGTCGGAATCAGCTACTAGCTGCACAGGCCGCTGATGGGCCACAACATTGCCACAGTTGTAAATTGAATCACCGCAGTCGATAAGTGAGTCACTCGGTTGTTAAGTGAATCTGGCTTCCCCTGTTGAAGGTCAGAAGGTCCCAAAAGGAGATCACATGACATTGAGACACTGTAACAGTCGTAAGTACGAACCGGTTGCCAAGTGTCTGAATTTTGGTCACATGATTCTGGGGATGCTGCAAATGTCGTAACTGTGAAAAAACGGTTGCAAGTCACTTTTTTCGGTGCCGTTGTAACTTTGAACGGTCACTAAATGAACTGCTGTAAGTCGAGGACTACCTGTCTAGATAGTCCTCCACCATGATCACAATTGAGTCTGGAGTTTCGGTTGTTAAGCGATGCGGTCGTTGTGCGAGTCATTGTGTGACTGCACCCGATTGTACAACTGTTTTTTGCAAAAATACTAAAAATGTCTAAATCAAAATTTAGGCATGTGGGAACCAGCATGTATGTAAGATGTTCACAGCATCACAGGATCATGTGGTTGCCATTAATCACCTTCTCAGCTGGTTTCTGGCAAAGCAAAGTCAACGGGGAAAGCCAGATTCGCTTAAAGACTGCATGATTCACTTAACAACTGCAGGGGTTTGCTTAACCACTCTGGCCAAAAAAAGGTCATAAAATTTAACGCAATTAGCCACTGCTTTGCTTAACATCAGAAATTCTACTCTCGCGGTCATAAGCCGAGGACCTCCTGTACTGCAGTAATACAGAACTATTAATTATTAATAACATTAATATTAATTATTAAGAATGAATCACTCTTATTAATAGTTATATCTGAAGTGGTATAGGATCTTCTGCCTGAGCAGGAGATTGCAGTAGAAGACTTCCAAGATCCCTTCCAACTCTGTTACTCAGTGCTCGACGTACGACACACAATCGAAACCAGAATTTATGTTACTAAGTGAGAAATTTGTCAAGTCAATTTCGGCCCCGTTTTCCGACTTTTCTTGCCACCGTTGTTAAGTGGATCGCTTCAGTCGTTAAATTAGTGTATAAATTAGTGTATATGGCTTCCCTCATGGACTTCGCTTGTCAGAAGGTCACAAAAGAGGATGACGTGACCCTGTAACCGTCATAAGTACGAGTCATTTGCCAAGCGTCCGAATTTTGATCACGTGACTGTTGGGGATGCAGCAACGGTCACAAGTGTGAAAAATGGTCATAAGTCGATTTTTTTTTTCAGCGCCGTTGTAACGTCGAACATCAGTAAATGAGCTGTCGTAGGTCGAGGACTACCCGTAATGTGGCAATATTGTTTTTCTTTTCTTTTTTTAACCAGGAGTCCAGGGGGAACCCCAATGAATAACAAAGAAAACATTGAGACTGGCACGGGATTGACTCCACTTATGACCCAGGCTCTCCGGCGCAAATTCCAGGCAAGGCCACCTCGAAACACGTACTGCTCTCCCTGCTTACGTCGATTTCCAGGGAAAATTGGAACAGTGGAGATTAGAAAAATGTCTTTATCGGAAGTCCTCAATTGTGCCCAAAGCTTCCTTTGCCCCATTCCACAGTTGTTAAGTTAATCACTGCAGTTTTTCAGTTAGTAAGATGGTTATTAAGTGAACGAAAGCATCCATAGCAAACAGAACTCCCAAGGCAGGTGAATTCCTCAAAGGACAGGTTTATTGGATTGGCACAGGCTGGTGAAAACCGACTCTGAATGTTCCCGTGGTTTTCACCTACCGTATTTTTCGGATTATCAGACGCACCGGAGTATAAGACACACCTTAGTTTTTGAGGAGAAAAATAAGAAAAAAGCTGATTGGCGGGTCGATCGGCCTCCCGGAATACCCCCAATCAGCTGTTCCCAGAGGTGAATTTTAGCAACAGGTTCCTTGGTTGTGAGCTCTGCGCCTTGCTTTTTTTCCAGCCTCTGCAACAGAAGTTTCAGAGGCTCTTTTTCAGCCTCTGAAACCTCCCTTTAAGAGGCTTTTTTCAGCCTCTGAAACCTCCCTCTAAAAGGCTTTTTTCAGCCTCTGAAATTTCCCTTTAAGAGGCTTTTTTCGGCCTCTGTTCTGCCCAGCTCTGGATTCCCAAGGATATTGACACACACCAATGGTCCTTATCAAAGTTATAACGTACCAAGAATAAACAAAGTCCGGCAAAGGTTGGCAACCAGCCCAGAAAACAAGATACGATAAGACATTCACTCTTCAAAAATGCTCTTTAATAATTACACGTTGTTTCCAGCAAGAAATTACTAACTGCCTGCGACTTAAATAGGCTAAGGGAGTGGCCAATTATCCTCAAACCTTACACTTGAGGAGACCTCCTCCTCCTGAGTAGCCACTCCTGCCTTTTGGCAGCCCTGTGGGCTCGAGCATTGAGGAGAGGCTCCTCCACTTCGCTCTCTCCACTTGAAGGAGCCTCGGGAGGTTCTGAAGGCCCAGGCGGAGTCTCTGCCTCTGGCACCACATCCTCTTCAGCCTCCTCGCTGTCCGACGTGAGCGCCGGCTGCGCCGGCTGCTGGCACGACCTCACACCAGCCTCCTCGTCGTCGGGATCAGCCACGCTCCGCGCAGGCCGCTGGCGGGCCACAACAGCCTCTGAAACTTCTGTTTGAGAGGATTTATTTTCAGCCTCTGAAACCTCCATTTCAGAGGCTGGGCGGGGTTACATTCGGTGTATAAAATGCACCCAATTTTTTACCCTCTTTTAGGGGGGAAAAAGGTGCGTCTTATACTCTGAAAAATACGGTAATTGAAAGTAAACATGTTCTCCCTTCCCCAAACTATCAGTCACATGGTCCAATCAAGGCGCCATCCGGTTGCCTGGTGACTTGACTCCTCCTCTCTCCAACCACCTGTGGGAATGTCCTTGGTTCCCAGGAGAAAGTTTTTTTGTTTTGGCTACAAAACCCCAGCTCTCTCTATTCCCCACCTCCCTATCCCTCAGTTCCAGTGTGGCAACACTGAAGCCTCAAAATGGCCTCCGTCAGGTCAGCTTCAGGGTTGACAGAAAGTGGCAAATACGATCACATGATCCCAGGACCCTGCTTAGTGATCCCCGACGACTTAAACAGGCAGGTATTTTGCAACCAGTTGGTAACAAGCAAACATACTGGACAAGGCAATAGTAAAATCAAAAGTCGAAATCATGTGATGTTTTTTTTCACTTGGCCAAATTGCTGGTCTCTAATGTGGTCACTAAGTGAGGACTTTCTGTACCTTCTTGGTATGTTGATCTTAATAAGACAAGCACATTTCCTGAAACTTACAGGAGCTTGTATTGTTAAACAGCCAAGATTTCTATTCAGAAGGAATACAGTTGGACACAGAAAGCCAGTTTAATTTAGTGGTTAAGGCACCCAGCTAGAAAGTGGGAGATGGGGAGTTCTAGTCCCACCTTGGCCATGAGAGCCAGCTGCTTGACTTTGGGCCAATCACCAGGAGCCTGCAAGTTCCAGTTCCTTTTTAGGTATGAAAGCCGGCTGGGTGACTGGGCCAATCATCAGGAGCCTGGGAGTTCTAGTTCCTTGTTAGGCATGAAAGACAGCTGGGGTGACTTTGGGCCAATCATCAGGAGCCTGCAAGTTCCAGTTCCTTTTTAGGCATGAAAGCTGGCTGGGTGACTGGGCCAATCACCAGGAGCCTGGGAGTTCTAGTTCCTTGTTCGGCATGCAAGCCGGCTGGGTGACTTTGGGCCAATCATCAGGAGCCTGGGAGTTCTAGTTCCTTGTTAAGCAAGAAAGCTGGCTGGGTGACTTTGGGCCACTCACCAGGAGCCTGGGAGTTCTAGTTCCTTGTTGGCATGAAAGACAGCTGGGTGACTTTGGGCCAATCATCAGGAGCCTGGGAGTTCTAGTTCTTTGTTAGGCAAGAAAACTGGCTGGGTGACTTTGGGCCAATCACCAGGAGCCTGGGAGTTCTAGTTCCTTGTTAGGCAAGAAATCCGGCTGGGTGACTTTGGGCCAATCACCAGGAGCCTGGGAGTTCTAGTCCTGCCTTAGTCAGGAAAGCTAGCAAGGTGACTTTTGGCCACTCCCTCTCAATCAGCCCAACCCACTTCACAGGGTTGTTATTGTCGGGGAAAATAGGAGGAGGCAGGTGTGTTGGATTTGTTCGCCGCCTTGAGTTATTTGTAAAAACCACAACACGGGATACAAATAAAGGAAAAAAGAACCCAATTGAAAGCTGTTTTCTTTCTTTATTCATTTTATTTTTACAGCTGGCTCACCCGAAGAGTCCATCTCCTTCCTGCTTCCCTACAAGAAACAGCTTTGAAGAACAGAGCTAGAAAAAAATCTCCTGGTGGTCTCCACAAATCTCTAACGATGGATACATCGCTGCTTGGGGCCCAATATGGACAGAGAATCACAGGATTTCCTTGGCTAAGCTTTTCGCATGCTGGAATATGCTTCTTTTCGCTCGCGCCTGCTTTTTTAAAAAAAAAAATATTCTGTAGCAACGCCTTGCTGAAAAACTCTTTTAAAACATATCCAGACGTTACCTTCTCAACCCACTGGGCATTCAAAACCTCCTTTAATGAAGCTGCTTTGACTTTAAAAGCTTTGCAATTTCACCTAGCTTTGAGCCCCTCTTTCACAAAGTTTACACATTCCTTCTCAATATATATTTTTAAAAAGAAGGTGTTTTTTGGGGGGAATGACATACGTCGATCCGAAGAAATAGCACTGTTTTTCCCAGAGCTTGGAAGAATTCTATTTATTCTTGGCTTGTTATATTTGTCACTAAGCTATGCACACACAGAAATTTTGTATACGTTTTCTACACGAGAGGAAAGCTTTTGTGGTACCCTCCGTATGAAGAGGGAGGGAAGAGAAATAAATATGTGGCATTTCGGCACGAAGGACCAATTTAGGAGTACCTTGAATTCAGGATTGTTCTTCTATTATTGGGGGTTTTTTTTACATGTTCTATTTATTTTATTTATATAACATTCAATTTCCATCGAATAGCGTGTGATCTGGGTACAGTTATTTTTAAATAGTCATAATCCACATATTTGTTATAGTATTCATCACAATAATATTAATATAATAATAATATAATAACAATATTACTTTACATCATCTTTAACAACTCTCCACATTAACATTTCCTCTTGATGTCTCCTCTTTTCTAACTTCTGTCTAGCCATTGAGAAAATACATCCCATATCAGAAAATATTCGGTTTCTTCTTTATCCTTAATAGTGAGCGTTAGTTTATCCTAAGGGTGTGTAACCTTAAAACACTCAGAGTCATTTGGACCCGTTTCCCACAGAAAAGAAAACACCGGGAGCCACAAAACCTTGGTGGGCGTGGCCAACTCGATGTCACTCACTTCTACCAGTTGCATGACACCCCCCCTAGCCACGCCTACCCAGCCGGTCATTAGGGCAGAGAACCAGTTGTTAAAAAACACCAGGAACCACAAAACCTTTTCGTCATTTCTCTCTCTCTCCCTCCTTCCGCTCCCCCCTCCCCCCCATCTCTGTGCATCTGTCTATGTCTCTCTCTCTCCCCCTCTCTGTATCTCTCGGTCTCTCTCTCTCCCCCTCTCTGTATCTCTCGGTCTCTCTCTCTCCCCCTCTCTGTATCTCTCGATCTCTCTCCCTCTCTGAATCTCTCGGTCTCTCTCCCCCTCTCTGTATCTCTCGGTCTCTCTCTCTCCCCCTCTCTGTATCTCTCGGTCTCTCTCTCTCCCCCTCTCTGTATCTCTCGGTCTCTCTCTCTCTCCCTCTCTGTATCTCTCGGTCTCTCTCTCTCCCCCTCTCTGTATCTCTCTGTCTCTGCCCTGGCCACTTCTCCATTCCCTGCCGTCGCCCTTATCTTCTCAGGCCAGGCGAGGAGTGACTGGGAGGGCAGGGGCAATGCCATCTATTGGCGGGATCACCCGACAGGGAGCCGCAGCAGAGGGCCCAAAGAGCCGCATGTAGCTCCTGAGCCGCAGGTTGCTGACACCCAGTCTGTCCATTTCTGCGCATTCTAATATTTTCTTAAATTACCATCTTCTCTGACGGGTCTCGGTCTCAGTGAATGTTGAACGTTTGCACACCCAGTCTTGGAGAGAAGTTTGTGAAGGGTAAGGAGAGGTTAATCTGAACTTGAATTTAACCCGTAATAGGTCAAGTTGCACCTAGCGTGATTACACAATGGATTGTTACACAGAAAAGGTGTTTTGTAGGGCTCACGTTGAAAGTGTTGTGATAGACCGACCGCGCTTTTATGTTGTAAGATATATTTCACGCCTCTGTTCAATTTTGGGTCCGGAAGGCCAAATAACTAAGCAAAGTTGATAGCAGAAAAGAATAAAATCTTAAGATCTTTAGAACAAACAAGAGTGGCTTATAATTGGGTCTCCTGACCACTGTCAGCATTCTGATGCTGCCATAAAAAGGAGGAGACGAGGCTTGACTTTTCACCTACTTATTTTCTCTGTAGATAATATTCCCTAGGAGATGGGATGGGAGGGGGGGGACATTCCTGTGGGTTGAGGTTAGAAGCTGGGGAGACTGACTTGGAAGATGGCCAATGAGAAGATGAGAATTGGGGAACGGAAAGGGAAGGGATTGGGGGGGTCAGAGGGTTAGTATCGGCTACAACGAAGTCGGGGCCAGATCTGTCGTACTCAATAAATGGAATATTTCAGCAAAGATTAATTGTTTGGGAGTGCAATTTATTTGAGATGATATCGAAACCTGACATCTTGTGGTCACTTCATTGTCTCCAAGAGAATAGTAGAAGATAAGGGTTGTTTTCATAACAAGTCTTCTACACCGGGCGTGTCCAACCTTGGCAACTTTTAAGATCTGTGGATTTCAACTCCCAGAAATCAAGTTTTGAGGAGGATGGAGAGGTATGCTGGGAATTACCGTCCACAGGATAGAGAAGGATGGTTTTTTCACCCAGCTTCAGTGGTGGGTTGCTACCGGTTCGGGCAAACTGGTAGCAGCGGTGGGAGGCTCTGCACACGCCCATGAGCGAACCGGTAGCAACGGGTTTCGAAACCCGCCCCTGCCTAGCTTGAAGTCCCATGTTCCTCACCTCACCAGGAAGGAGCCTGGATAGCTCAGCAGACTAATGCATTATAATTTAACTCCAGCTGTCTGCAATTAGTCAGTTCGAATCTTGCCAGGCTCAAGGTTGATTCAGCCTTCCATCCTTTCTAAGGTAGGTAAATTGAGGACCCAGTTTGTGGGGGCAATAAGCTAACTTTGTAAAAATATACAAAAGTATGAAGGCTATTGCTTAATGCATTGTAAGCTTTCCTGAGTCTCCGGAGAAGGGCGGCATATAAATCAAATTTAAAAAAAAAATGCACAAACCTCAACTTCGAGGATCTTCAGCAATGGGAGATGGGAGATTCTGGGAAATGGGCCCCTACATCTGTAAATTGCCATGATTGTTGGAGAACAGCAATTCTGCATGATGCAAGATAATTTGTAGGAAGCCTGGTGTTCTCTGAGCTTGGTTTTCTTGCAGACGTTTCATGACCCAACTAGGTAACGTCACCGGTGCGAGGAGTGGGATTTGCTTTCTGTTTATAAGTGGCTTGCCCTGTCAGTGTTGGCGGGAGTGTTTTTGGTGGTTCCTTGATCAGGCTGGAGAGAGAGAGGAGGGATGGATGAGATGATGGTAGATATAAATGGATGCTTAGACCACAGGTGTCCAACTTGGTCAACTTCTAACTTCTCAGAATTGCAACATGGCTGGCTAGGGAATTCTGGGAGTTGAAGTTCCACAGGTCTTAAAGCTGCCAAGGGTGGACATCCCTGACTTAGATAGATCTCCAGGAAGATCTGTCCTCAACCTGGTCCTTCAGCTGATCCAGTAGTTCCCTCATTGTCTCTATAGAGGATGATCTATGTCTATCTGTCTGTCTTCATCTGTCCATCCATCCATCTCTATATCTTCCATCTGTCTGTCTGTCTGTCTATCTACTCTATCAATCTATCTCATCTATCATCTCTGTCTATATCTATCTATCTATCTATCTATCTATCTATCTATCTATCTATCTATCTATCTCTTATCATATGTCTATCCATCCATCCATCCATTCCATCTATATATCTATCCATCCATCCATCACCTCTATCATCCTTATCTGTTTATCATTCATTTATTTATCATGACCATTCTAAGTTACGACTGCACTGAAAAAACTGACTTGTGACCAGGGTGGATAAAAATCAATGATTTTTTAAAAAAATCAATAAAATCAGATTTTTTTGATTTAAATCGGATTTTTTTGATTTTTATCGAATTTATTTTAAGAAAAAACTTTTGGGGTAAAAATCTATCGTAAGATAGTTTTCTATTTAAGATACATAAATAATTTAGTTTCATTCAGCATGAAATGGAGCTTAGTTACGTAGCAGGAGGCTGTATATTCTGCAACACTGGGACTATCATGAGTCAACAGCGGGTCAAAGGAGGAGCAGAGATGACAGTTGCTCTTTAAAAATTATGATTTAAATCGAGTTGATTTAAATCAAGCCTTTTTGCTAGTGATTTAAATCATGATTTAAATTGTGATTTAAATCAACTCGATTTAAATCAAATCCACCCTGCTTGTGATCATTTTTTCAGAGTTACGACTTTTGCCGCATCCCCACGATCACGGATCAAAAATTCAGATGCTTGGCAAGTGGTTCCTATATGACCGCTGCTGTGTCCCCTTTTGTGACCTGATAAGCAATGTCAATGGGGAAGCCAGATTTACTTAACAACTGGGTTACTCACTTACCAACTGCAGTGATTCACTTAGTAACCATGACAAGAAAAACGGGGCAAAGCTCTCACTGAGCAATAGAAACTTTGGGCTCACAACGGATGGCTACTAATCAAGAAGAGAAGCAACATGGAATTAAGGAGAAACGAAGGAGCCTGGATAGCTCAACAGACAAAGCACTGTAATTTAATACCAGCTGTCTGCAATTAAAGTAAGATCGAATCCTGCCAGGCTCAAGGTTGACTCAGCCTTCCATCCTTTCTAAGGTAGGTAAATTGAGGACCCGGTTTGTGGGGGCAATAAGCTGACTTTGTATAAAATATACAAAAGGATGAAGGCTATTGCTTAACGCATTGTAAGCCGCCCTGAGTCTCCGGAGAAGGGAGGCATATAAATTAAAGCAAAAAAATATATAAAAAATTCCTAACAGTACACTTCACCAGTGGAACGCCTTGCCACCAGAAGTGGGTGCACCCAACACCGGTGGCTTTTAAGAAGAGACTCTGGACAGCCATTTGTCTGAATTGGTATAGGATCTCCTGCTTGAACAGGGAGTGGACTAGAGGACCTCGAAGGTCCCTTCCAGCTCTATTCTGATTCAATTGTGGTTGTAAATTGAGGACCTATATCTGGCTAAACGAGAGGGTCTTCAACCTTGGCAGCTTTAAGACGTGTGGACTTCAACTCCCAGAATTCTCCAGCCAGCTAGCTGGCTGGAGAATTCTGGGAGTTGAAGTCCACACGTCTTAAAGCTGCCAAGGTTGAAGACCTACGAAAGCTATTTCTCAAGGCGTCCCGGAAGTCTCTCCTACAATCTGACTTCACCCCTCTACATTTTCATCCATCTACCGTCCTAGAACGCGAAGTATCCAATTCCCTCCGAAAACCAAGCTCGGATTGGCTGGCGCTGCCGCCGCGGCGGATATTCTCTCTCTCTCTCCCCCGCGCCTGCGCCCTGACGCCTTTCCCAGGGCGGCAGCTCCTCGCGGCTGTAAGCTGCTGCCGGATCGCCGGGCGAGCAAGCGGCGGCTTCCAGCGCCGCGCGCAGGGCCGGAGGATGGTGGGCGGCGCTGTGACCGTGCAGGGCCCGGTGAGCTTGCACGAGCTGCTTTTAGCCGGGGCTCCTGCTGCTGCTGCTCTTCCTTCGGCTGCCGCTCCTGCTGCTTCTTCGTCGGCCGCTGCCGTTGCTGCTGCACCGCCATCGGCAGCCCCGGTTGCTGCTGCTGCTGCTGCTGCCGGCGGCGGCGCCGCCTGTCCCGGGGTTGCTGCCCCGGGGGAAGAGGAGGAAGTATGCGTGGTAGGCATCTTCGGCAAGACGGCGCTGCAGCTGGGCTCGGAGAAGGCAGCGCTGGTCAACACGGTCTGCGATCGGCAGGTCTTCCCTCTCTTCCAGCGGGAGGGCGGCGGGGGGATCCGGGGGTCTTCAGCCGGGGTTGCAAGCCCGGATCCCGTGGTTGAGTCCCCCCCTCGGCCTTCCTCCTCTTCCTCCTCCTCTTCCTCTTCTTCTTCCTCCTCTTCCTCCTCTTCCTCCTCCTCCTCCTCGGCCAGCCCATGTCAGGGAGATTACAACCACTTGCAGGCTTTCTACAGCCAGGAGAGCAAGGTACTTTACTTGGTCCTGACCGCCATCAGCGACAGCCACCAGCTCTTGCAAGCTTGCAAGGACTTGGAAGCCATGGGGGGCTCCGTCCGGGCTGTCTCGGCGGGCCAGGCGGGCTCCTCGCTGCCCCACGCCGAAGCCCACGAGTTCTGGAAGCACCAGGAGAAGATGCACTGCCTCAACCTGCTCTACCTTTTCTCCGTCTGTCACATCCTGCTGATGGTGCATCCCACCTCCTCTTTCGACATCACTTACGACCGGGTTTTTCGGGCGCTCGATGGCTTGAGGCAGAAGGTCTTGCCCAGCCTCAAAGCCGCCATCAAGGACTGCCCCGTTGGCAAAGACTGGAAGCTCTTCTGCCGGCCATGCCCGCCTCGCCTGCTCTTCCTCTTCCAGCTCAACCGAGCTCTGAAAGTGGAGCCTCCGCCGGGCCGGGGACAAGAACTGGGGGGCCAGCTGGAGAAGCCGCCCCCCAAGAAGCACTCGCCCAAACGCCGGCTCCAGCACGCCTTGGAAGACCAGATCTACCGCATCTTCCGCAAGAGCCGGGTGTTAACCAATCAGAGCATCAACTGCCTCTTCACCGTGCCGGCTAACCAAGCGTTTGTTTACATCGTGGCCGGCGGGGCCCAGGAAGGCGAAGATCCCATTGCCGTCTTGCTGGAGCAGCTGAAAAACAACTGCACGGCTAGGGAGACCGACACTTCGCTGGGCCCGGGATTGGCGGGGCCGCGGCGGTACCAAATGATGCGGCACGGCAGACAGCAGTTGTCGTTCCACGCCGAAAGCAGCGGTGGCGCCTGCGGGAGCAGCAGTTCGAGCTCGGGCCAGTTGGTGGATTGCACCTTAAAGGAATTCTTATTCCAGCACGTGGAGTTGGTCCTTTGTAAAAAGGGCTTTGACGACAGCGTGGGGAGGAACCCCCAGCCGTCCCACTTCGAGCTGCCCACCTACCAGAAGTGGGTCGCCACGGCCCTGAAGCTTTACGAGGTGGCGATTGAAGG